TGTCTGGTGCTCAGACCCACCTCTGATGTACATTTTGGAATTTCAAAGTGCTGTACAAAATATCTCAAAAACATCAATATCATTTAAGTAATAGCCATTTGTTTACTACATCCCCATCAGCTTTGACACTTTGAATTGTATATATTTGAGCAGACAAATTCTAACTAAGCTTGCGTTACAGATATTAATTTCTGTGCAATCTCAGTATGGTAAATAACAGCTATTCTACAGCATTCTAATTAATAATGAAGTTAAGAGTCAAACTTTTTCATAGTGATCAAGAATTTTTTGTATTCATGTGCAGTAGTAAACTCATAGAAAAGAATACAAAAGATAATTTGAGATGGATTACTTCTGGAAAAAAGAAAAAAGAAAAATAAATAAATAAATAAATAAATACATATATATAAGGTCAGCAAAAAATCTGGCTTCTGGTCTTTGTAAAACAGCCCACCAATAACTTTCCAATTTCCACAAAAATAAACGCTGAATGACAGAAAAATCTGCTTTTTATTACATTATCTAAAGTATATATCATGTAATAGTAACTACTGTTTCATGGCATTCATTTGAAATAATCCACTACAGAAGACTGCAAACTCTTTTCTTCATTTCAAGACGCTTGTCTCCCCTAAACAGACTAGACTGAAATCTCTGCAAGTGAAATCCCTTATAGCTGCTGCCTCTCAGAAGGATCCAGATCTGCTCATCAGAACTGCAGGATGGATGGCCACTAATACCCTTTTCCTTCTATTGCTTCTTGGGGATTCATCATGCCCTATGAATACTGCACAACACTAGAATATGATCTCTTATCCCAGTATTGTTGCAGTCAGTTTTTATTAAGGAGCTTCTAATTCCAACAGAAAGACAGAAAAAGGGAGCTAAAGTTTGTCTTTTTCCTTAATTGCCATTAACTAATTTTAGTACATTGTGTCCTCAGTTTAGTCTGCTGCAAATTGAGATTAACTCCTCCATTAACAGTGCCTGGTGCTGAGCATGCTCTGTGCCTTTATATACTGTGCCTTTAGACCTTCATCTCCACATCTGCATTGCAGCTCCATCCAACTCACTTATATCCACTCCTGTTTTATTACAGTATCATTCACTGTTTCATACGTAAGGGAGGTTTACTGCAGTTTTGAAAGTGTGTTTACCTTTTTAATCTCCAAGTGGATGACACAAGAACAAAGCAAACATGGCAACAGGAAGTACTACAGAAGCTACTCTAGAGACATCTACTAAAAGGTGATAATAAGATCCTGCACCATCCTGATCAGACTCCCTGTCATCTTCACTTCTCCTCCTTAGCAGTCTAACTTCTTTTACATCCCATATTCAACTTCTTATAAGATCAATAGGATTGGTAAATCAGTGAGGTTAATATCTGTTTGTTGTTAAGCAAAAAGATTCTAGGGAATATTTCTGCTGTCTGAAAACAATTGAATACTTGATATATGCAAAACCAAAAATTACACAGACTACCAAAATAGAAAGTATTAATAAATGGAAATCTTTAACTAGCGGGCCTTCATTTTTAGTTTTGAGATCTGGAACCATAAGATTCTAGGCTCTTTATAAAAATAACACAGTGTATAGAAGGCAATATCTTGTATAATCGAAAACTTTGCATCTTTTTAAAATAAAGGGGTAAAATGGCTAAAAAAGTTGGGTGAGGGTGAGTTCTTTTTATTCCTATCCTCGAAGAAAGACATAAATCTATTGTAATGAAAAGGTAATATATCACTATCAAGATTTTATACTGAAATGTAATTTCTTACTGTTAAGATTTTTCACTGTTTGAAAAATGAATTTTTTAAAGAATACTGTGATACACATTTGATGCATTTGACAGTCTTTGAAGTAATCCACCTTGAAATATTATGCTAAATTTAAAGTTGCACTTGCAAAATGGTTTATAAAATGGTAATTATCCTTCCTATCGAGCCTGACTGAAGTGTTGCATGAAGCCATTTATTCACAGCAGCCTGGTCTGGGACTTTGTTAATTGACTGCAATTAGAAGCATTTGTCTGCAGATGTTTCTTCTAATAGATTCTCCATGACCTCAACTCCTCTGTAAGGAACTCTGAACAAATCTGCATCCATTTTCAAATTTAAAACCGAAGCCAACATCTAGACTTAAAGAATCTCTGGAACTTGCTTGCCTTCCAGATGAAATTAATCTTTCAGCATGCGGTCACTGCAGCACTATGTCACCCTGATTCCTCTCTTAACAACTAATGCCAAGGCAATTATTATCTTCCTATATTTTAGAATGTCTCAGTTTTAAAATGTCTCCCTTGTTTCAGACATGCCTGTGCTGCTTGAACAAAAACAAATAAACGGTTACTTATTTTCATTTTATCAGGAAAAGATAGAGCTAAATCTTGAATACCTGAAGTGGTATAGGTTCATTATTGTTTTGGAGGTAGATAATATATATCAGCTGTGAATCCAGGACCTTTTAAAGTGTCTTATATAAGACTGAGAAAAAAAAAATATACCCAGAAGATGACTCAGTGCTGCTGGTTTGCTATTTTTCTGTCCATTTTAGAATAATTTTACTATGTTCAATGGCAGTTTGTTGCTTTTCAATAGTTGCAACTTCATGCCCTGCCTTTAAGCAATTTCAGTGTTCAGATAGGAAAAATGAACAGTATTTATTTCGCAGATGAGAATCAGAGAGCTCAGAAATTTCTATACGCTATACAAATAGGCCTTAGAAGTGGTTGAATGCTTTGCTTATAATTACGTTTTGCTTACTGGTCAGTGGAGATGTGATTAATGAGAAGGACTGAAGTCAATTTGAAGAAGAAGATCCATCTTTGCCTAATTCTATCAAAACAATTCAAGGGAGACCACACAGAAATCCTAAAAGAAAGTTGCCCTACAGGAGTCCTCATGCATTCAAGTGATACAAATGATGTGGAGGTTAGAGACAGCATTAACCTGACCAGGACTGTTTGTAGGATACAGCACTGTGTGAACACTCCCCCCCCCAGTGTCAGAGCAATATTTGACCTGGGTGTACTCTGCAGTGCCTATGAGCTCAGCACATCTTGATCACAATGAAGCGTCCTCAATCTGATACTCAGCAGAATAGCTCCACGCTTGTTTCAGGAAGTAAAACAAAGGCTTTGAACTTGACTAGATAGTCTAATTTACAATAAAGACAATTGAAAGACATCATCCGAACTCACAAACATACTTTGCTTAAATTCCCCAAAAGGTGTATAAACCTACTTGTTTTGCTATGAGAAAGAATTGCACCTGCTGCTTGCAGCTTCCTTATTAGCCCTCTCTTTGGCTCTTATGACTTTGCTTACTATACTGCAAAGAGAGTAATTTGCATGGCTATAGCTGAAGAACACTCTCTTTTAAAAATGGTTTTTGCATTCTTCTGTCTTTAGTGATTTTCCTATGTACTTTTGCAGAAGTCTACCACACACAAAACTGAAAAAAAGCTGCATGGCTTTTTGTTATTGGTATTTTTCTACTGCCATAGAAAGAAAAAAATAATTCCCTCCTTTTCCTACCACTACTGTAATATAGGGATGTGCATTATTATTCATTGAGATACACTGCTCTGTAACATTTTTAAAAGCATTTCAGTGAAGGCTATCAAGTCATGAAATCTACAGTGAAATTAGGCAGTCTATTTAAACCAGTGTTTGTATTTTTCTCTGAAAGGTAAGGGAAATAAAACACATTAAAAAAAAAAAAAAAAAAAAAAAAAAAAA